CCTGCTGCAGAAATAACAAACACCCACTGAAAATTATTTGAATGGCGACCTGCCTACATATGTCTTAAACAATGATGCTCAAGGTGAGTAGAGGACCCAGAGGCCAAAACATAAGTAGCCATTTTTGACACTATGATTTTGTGACATCACCACTACATAAGAAGTGACCAAACTGAGGCCTTGGGCAGGGAAGTTGATCTGACCAAGTTTATTTTTGTGTGGAGAGTGAAGCAAAAAGAAACAACATTTTCTGCAAAAGACTTGATAATTTTAAAATATCAATATGGATATGTTCAGAAAGTGCCATCATATCTTTGAATACTACTTTCTAAGAAAACCTGTTTCTGTGGTTTCATAGGATTTTATTTGGCTTTAGTCAGAGGATTAGGTATTTGAAAGTGGCACTTGCATTACTTTTCTTATTAAGACGATCAAATCTTTTTTAAAAAAATTTTTATTGAGGGCAAATATCTCAGTCTTTTTACTGGTTGATGCTTTTTGGACTTTGTTGTTGTTAATCCTCATCTGAGGATATTTTTTCCATTGATTTTTAGAGAGTGAAAAGGAGGGAGAGAGGGAAGGGGGGAGGGAGGGAGAGAAGTCCATGTGAGGGAGATACGTGTGTGTGTCGGCTGACTTCTGCAGGCCCCCTACAGGGATCAAGCCCAGAAACCTGGGGTGCATGGGAGGACGCCCAACCAACTGAGCGACACCAGCCAGGGCTAAGATGATCAAATCCTACAGAAAGCTACAAACAGGTGCTTCCTATTATTCTTTGCCTCAGGGCTTTCTCCTAAAATGCCATAAACAGTTTTATGTTGTTTCTTTCCTAAAATCTGAAAGTGACTTTTGTGGGGCAATCGGGTGGGGGGTGGGGGGGGAGCATCTGAAGGATGAGAGGCTTGGCAAAAAATAATTTATTTCCAAGGATGCTTTAAATTCAGCCCTTGGGCCTGGTCTGCTCACAGAGACTTATACAGAGTTCAGCCCTTTCCTGCCTTTCAAATAGGGTAACTAATCTTCCTTCAGCCCCTTTAAGGCGCCTACAGGCGATTCTACTTCCAATGGGCCCTTTACGGAAAAGGAAGCTTCGTGGCGAACCTCTTTCCTTAGCCCTCCTATTAATCCAGCTCAAGTTCTGAAAGCAAACAGCAACAGCCAAAACAAATACTTTGGAGCCAACACTTAAGCCTCAGCCTCACTTAACAGCAGAAGTAAGTAGGTTTGTTGGTTTAGCAAACAGGATAGGAGGTGGGGGGGGAGGGGAGGGGATGAGAAGGGGCCCGCCCCTTGGGAACGGGATTGGTTCCCTCTCTCCCTGTAGCCGTTCATCTGGCACCTCGGCGGGGTAGGTGGAGACAAACTTGTCGTTCAGGTGGTGTCAAAATGAGCCCCGTAGGTATGGGCTGTCCCCTAAGTTTGTGGTTTTAGATTTTCAAAGGGACAGACTTATTGGCTATGGGACCAAGTCTTCTGTAGGTCGAAAGATGTCATCGTAACAGGAGGCGCCAAGGAGCTTAAGGATAACTCACGCACGACCCAGAGAAAATGACGAACGTTCCTCGGGGGTTTGATTTTAGTTTCCTAAATGACGACGAAGCCAGGAAGATCCTTCAGGTGCTGGAAAGAAATGAGGAGCTGCAGAGGGCAGAGAAGGACAGAATCAGGTACAAAGCCGATGCGTTCTCCTTTTCCCTGGACCTGCGTCCCGCGGCGGCCCGGGCGTGGGGGAGGGAGGCGCGGAGCTTTCCCGGGACACCTGTCTGGGGTCCTCAGGCGCGCAGCATCCCCCGGTGCGCATCGGCCGGGGCAAATCTGCAGAGAGGCTGTCCCTTAAGGACTTTGGGGTGCCTGGATGGTGCTCTCTCTGCACAGACGGGCTCGGGTCCCGCGGGGTGCGGAGCGCCCCTGCCCTCGCCTTGCTGGCGCCTCGTACTCCGGGGCGCTTCTCTCCGAGTGGG